ACAGCAGATGACGCCATCAAGATGTGGGAGTCTGCAGGTCGGGGTTCAGGCAAGAAGGCTACAGGAAATGAACCTGACAAAAACGTCGATCCGAACCCAGAACGGGAACCGCAAAAGAAAGCTAATTTTGCGAATATAGTGTTCGAGAGTCTCTCTCTCCTTCGTGGAACAACGATTGTTTAGATTGTTTAGAAGATTGTTTACTGATGGAAGTTCACATGGTCTGCGTGCGTTTCTAATGCAAGTGGACCAAAATGGGAACGAGCGACCCCCAAGATTTACTTCAAGAAGTCTCACTAAAGCTGAGAAAAACTACGCTTAAGCAGAGCGGGAGGGACTTGCCGTCATCTTCGGCGTCACTCAATTCAAGCAGTGCCTTTGGGGCAGGAGATTCACTCTGGTGGCTGATAACAAGCCACTCGCTGCCCTGTTGGAACCAAAGATGCGGGCTCCTCCGCTGGCGGCAGCCCAAATGCAGAGATGACCATTGACTCTGGCACCCTATACATACAATCTTGAATACAGAAAAGCAGAGGAATTCCGATGGCGGACTTCTTGTCACGCCTCCCAGTTCAGAAGGAGCAGAATCGGGCTGACATCCCAGATGAGGCTTCAGCTTGCCTCCTCGAGCAGTTTGACAGGATGGAGCCGCTGACCTGTAAAGATGGACTCGCCGAAAATGTGTTGAATGCTCAAGTTGATGCATAACTACGCTGACGGAGCAAAATGGAAGCAATGTCACATTATTGGCCGCACTGGACCTGTTTCCTGAAAAGCAACGGTAGAAAGAATGACATGGTCACGTCATACAAGACAGCTACTTCCTCTGGGCCAATCTGACAAACCAGCTGGAAGAGAGGCAAGTGCTGGTAAAAAGGCGGAGTCAAATCTGTCTGTGACGAGACCTGAAAACGGCAAGAAGAACCGAGAGAAAGCAAGATTCAAATGCATGTCATAGTCAGCGACGCAGTGGCGCATATCCCCACCAGCTAGAATGGATAGGCTCCGACCCACAGGGACAATTATCATAAGCGGCCAGCAGTAGTGGGTCAGTGAAATATGGCAAACAAACAACACATTAAGTCAGTAGTGAGACGCCAACTGGTGGATCTCCAAACACACCGGAACGGAGTGAATACAGGGATGGAGCGACGGAGGCTCAACTCTCAGGGCACAATGTAGAGCAAGCTCTAAGTCACCAGTCACCATCTGAACCAGCCAAAATGTTCAGAAGAAGTGGTCGGGAGATGCGCAAGCCAATCCGGTTCCAAGCAGGCCAAACTTGACGGCCACGAGCTAGGCCCTCTGCATTCTAACAGGGGTTGTGAGCTGTTATGTCGGTCATTGACTTTTAAGTGTTGTCGGTTATTGACCTCATGAGAGGTACCCGTGTGTTAACCATCGGACTGAGAGCGAGATAAAATATTTGTGCGCGTTCTCGGCCTAGAAATATGTTGCAGTTCAAAGTGTAAGTTACAAGAATACAGCGCACTTCTGTATAATTGCAAATTCTGGCTTACAACATTAGAACTCACCTTTCTTTGCGCAGCCTTAGAAAACCAGGTGTAGTACGTATGCACGCTCACGGACCACGTTCATTTTTTCCAGATCATGGTTCATCCCGGCATTTTGAGGCTAAGTATTTCGTGGGAAATATGGAAAAAATAGCTAAAGTTGGCTGCTAAATGCCACCAAAATCAAGCACGACGATCGATTCCAAACAAATGCACTGCTAGCCGGTCAGTTGATGTGATTAGCGGAAGGCTGATGACCACCGCAGTTGTCCTTTGGCTATTATGAAGGAGTACAAAGCGTCCTAGCATTGAAAATGTGTACCGAGTATGATGCACAAGGATAACGAGCGAGACAATTTTACTTACCAACGGAAATAGCATATCCGACGTCGGTAGCGCATGCAATCATATTTGGCAATTACGCGTAAAAATTCATCGGCGCGTATCCAATTGCTGCACTAACGCTAGGGTACCACAGGAAATAGTCATCGCGTAGATCTCGGACTTGTGTACGTGAAGCAATTTACCCAGGCCCGTACACACGAGCATGCCCAACGTGCTGGCGTTCGCAATCACATGCGAGGCCTTCGATAAGAGGATAAGATCCCTCTGACTTCATCGGAAGGCCCCACGACCAAGTCGAGGGCCCGGGAGCAATCAAGAGTGCCCCGGCCGATTAGCATTCAGGTCCCCGTTAACGGCGTAAACCCTCCGATGAAATGGGCAAACCCGAGATCAATGGGAACGGCGCCTGAGCGATCGAGGGTGTCGTGGCAGGCCAATAAAGAGGCTTCCGTCAACTGTGTAGGGTCCTCAGAGCAGACAAGACGACCTCAAGAACAACGTGGTAGGCCCCCGAGCGATCCGGAGAGCACTGGCGGGATAACATATAGGGCCTCGGACAGAGTACTGGACCCTCTAAGCAAAGGGGAATAACCCAAGACCACTGTATATGAATCAATGTCCTTGAACGACCGAGGGTGCTTTGGCAGATGACCATATAGGGCTCGGGACAACAGCATACGGTGTTTCGAGTAAATGTGAGCTGTCTAAGGCCATTGCAACGGGCGTTTGTGCAATCAAGAGTGCCCGAGCAGGTGAGAGGAAAGGGCCTGCCAAGAGTGAAAGGTCTCCCGCAAAGGGCTTCAAAGGGAAAGTTTCCCACATCAAGGGCTAATGAGCATCGAGCGCATGGGTGCGCCACTGAATGGGGGCCCCAGCAACAGCGCAGGGCCCTCCGACTGGAAAGAACACAAGACCACTGTCAAGACCCGCTGAACAGTGTAGAGTACATTGCAAGGTTAAAAGGAATGTTCCACATTTGAAGGTATAGAGGCAAGCATCAGATGTGACGAAATAAACTCACTTGTAATTATTGGTTTGTTTTTAAGTGCAAAAAACTGCCCTAGACAACACAATTTCATTATTTAGTAAATATGCTCCTCAATGCGCCAGCGCTTAACTGCGTCATGAGACGTTGGTGTGACGTAAGAGTGACTGCCAAACTGATCGTGGAAAACTGCCACCGTAGCGGAAGAGCTGGCTCACTAGTAGTACTTCAACTTGTCGAGAGGTACTGTGCTAATAGTTGCATTGTTTACAAAACCTAGACATAACGAGATAGGGCCCCCGACAAGGGCGTAGTACCCCCTAAGCAATTAAAAAGTACCGAGACACAATGCGAAGGGCCTCCAAACGATCGAGTGCACCTGAACAGTTTAACAAATGGGCCTCCGACAAGAACGCAGGGCCATCTCTTGAAATAGGAAGTACTCAAGACCCAATGTGGACGGCCCGTAATTATAGTGTGCACGAGCAGAAGAACAGTTGAGGTCTCCGCCAACACCGTAGCCCCCCGCGAATTAAAAGTACCCAAAAGTCAAGGTAGATGGCCACGAATGATCGCGTCCGCCCTAACAGGTTAACAGATGGGGCCCCCGACAACAGCGTAGGGCCCTTCATTCAAATAGGAAGAAACCAAGACCTCACGCGGAGGGCCCCCAAACGATCGGGTGTTCCCGCGCAGGGTAACAGATGGGGGCCCCTGACAAGAGCGTAGAGCCATCCCAGTAAATAGGAAGTACCCAAGACCCAATGTGGACCATTCTCAAACGATCGAGTAAGCCCGGGCAGCTTAACAGGTAGGACACTTTAAAGGAGTGAAGGGTCCTTCGGAAGTGTTAGAAAATAGGAAAGCCCTAGAGCAATGGAAAGGGCCCATGAGCATAGCCCGTGTGGGTCGGTAGGTCAACCGAGACCAATGGGAAGGCCCCTGAGCAACTGAGATTATCCCGGGAGGTTAATACGCTATCGGATGTAGCGTATAGAGCCTTTCGGGCAAATGAAAAGAATCCGTGGAGGGCCCCTGATCGACAAGGAAACCCCACCATGCTTGCGGATAGGGTCCAGACAACGGCGTAAGGCCTTCTGAGCAAGTGCAAAGGAATCAAAGGCAACGTGCAAAGGTCCTAATGATCGGAGTGACGCTGCAAGTGAACATATAGGGCCACCGTTAACAGCGTAGGGCCTCAGAACAGCGTAAGAAACCTTAGAATTTCTCCAATATGTTAAAAATATGTTCAATCGCCTCTGTTAATAAGCAAATAATTATTTTTGTCTGCTTGTGGGTCTTCACTTTTGGTTGTGACTGTTCTTGGTCGCCTGAGACCCAAAGGCGTCCAATTTTGTTCTCTTTTATTTTTTTAACTGCGTATGTTCGGCCGGCTAAGGGTCCCTTTGGAGCCTATTATGATCCATGGGGACACAAAGTAACGTCATGGCCCCGTGCCCCCTCCCCCCCCCCTCTGAATTCACCAATGCTTGATAAGTTCCTCATGGGGGGACGCGAGACAACAATGTTGTGCCCACCACCTTCACAAAATGCCGGATTGACCCGTTGAGGAGGGGGGAACAAAACCTTCAAATTGGCGCACCATAACGTTTTTATTCTCAACAATTGCTCTGCCCTTTATCCTGATGAAATTTTGGATTGACCCGCTCGACAAAGGGACACCAAAAACCTTTATTTCGGGGCATCACAACATCCAGTTCCAGAGGTAACCAATTCCACGGTTACCAAGGACCACAACCCTTTATTTTCAAGAAAAAAACAAATTCAACGGGCGCCGTAATGTCCGTACCACTCTATTGACAATATCTTGTATCGGCCGATTTGGCGGAAGGCAGGAACCCAAACTTTAATTTCGGGGCACCGCAACATTTGCTTTCTAGGGGCACAATATCCAAGCGGGCCATTTAGAGGGCCGTAAAACCTTCCTTTTAAAATGTACCAAAGTCCAAAAGCTCCACAATTCCTTTGCCTTTCACCACGATGAATTCTTGAATGGATCCCTTTGACAAAGGTGAACTAAATACCTTTTTTGAGGCATCTGATCCCTTTTTGAACGGGCACGTAGACTAACAATAGGTGGACATATTAATGCAGTTGTTTATCCTGTTTCAGTCTACGCTGGTGTTCAACCCACGGGCCGGTTGATATATTTGTAAATCCTCGAGCACATCCGGCCACGTTTCTCATTGTTATAGTTTGGCATAAAAGGCCGAATGAACTATTGCTAATTGAATAGTGTCCGCGGTCTATTCGATGCAACCACTTGATCTCTGGTTTATTTCTTTAAGTCATTTCAAAATTCATGCAGAACTGTATTCCCTGGCACCCACTGGTTTTTTTTTTGGTAAAAGAGGCATTTCAGCACGGATGATAAACGAAGAATATTGAGATAATGAAATCTCTAAATAACATCAGCTAAACCCGGCAAAACTTCTTTTTCGGAGGGATCATTTGAAGTCGCTGGATTCCATGCTGCATTTCAACCACCAGAGCCCCTTTTTAACCACGGTCATGCTACATTTCCACAGTCAGGACCCCTTTGCTAACTGTGATGCTCCTCTCCTGTTGTAACCTTGGCTGCGCCTCCGGCCAAAGTGTCTGTGCACCCCCTTGACAAAATGCCGGACATCGGTCCACGTCAGCATTGCAAGTGGCAAGAGAGGTCGTCTTCCCTTCCTGCTTGCGTTGTTTATCTTAGCATCGCAGATGGCTCTTGACAGAAAGTAAAAAACGAAGCACACTTTAAATTGGGTAATAACTCCGGTGAGATACATCGTCATTGAGCAGGTATATGTAAGAGGCAACAGCAATGGCAGTGGAACGTGTCTGTAATCAAACCAGTGCAAACAATGCGAGCGGTGTTAGAGTGTGAGACAAGGTAAATTTTCAATCGACACTGGCATTCGCTGCAGAATATATATATATATATATATATATATATATATATATTCAAAAAGAAAAACTGCCAATGGGTTGCTTCGCTTCGGGCATTGTGAAAAAGTTGTTCAAGCAAACTGATTGTTATGTTTCACACTAAAATAGGCAACGGATTGAAACCTGAATAAGTAACCCTAGTATCTACTTAGTTGGTAATAGGTCACTTAAGTCATCGCTTTGGGATACACGAAACTTTGCATGTAAGAATTACCTTGAGCAAAGCAACAGTCAAAATGCGTTTTCACGATAACAAAACTACGCGTGCCCCTGGCATATTTTGTAGGTACTGCCGTCACCAGACAGATACAGATGCAAATATTCCAGACATAAGAGTTGGCAATTTGTTGGTGGTATCGCTGCAGGTAACAGCATCCGTGTGTTCCGATGTACTTCTGCGTCCTAAGGTAACATATAATACGTTATCGGCGGTGCAGTATGTGTAATATCACTCGGTTGTTGAACCTTTGAGACTCATGCTGCTTACGATTAGCTGGAGTTACCCTACTCAGCCTAAATTTTAGAAGCATTTGTACTTTTCAAGGCACTCAACGCACGCGCACCAGACTCCCTTTTTCATGTCAACAACACAAAACATTTTGCATATTTCAGGGAGTTTGCCTATAATGCCAGAGGGAGTCTCCCCCTCCACCACCAAAATATACGTCGCCTCAAAAATATTCAAACTTTACCGGCTTAACCTCTTCCTGCTGAAGCAAAAACTTGTCAACACTTGCACCATGCTACGTTACTTGAGTCATTGTGATTTAACACGCGCTCGGGCGGGGGTCAAATTGACCCCCCGAAAGTTTTTCCAGCATGGGTTCCGAACGGCATGGTGTAGCCCCGCCAAATTTTGCACAGCTGTAGGTAGTTGAATAGCAGATCGTTTGGCATCACAAATTTAGATGTATCTTGTAAGGTCGTTAACCTATGGCAGGTAAAAGTCAGGCCATGGTTTCAGCGAAGGCAATTTCTAGGGGATTCTTCAATCTGATCCAACAACGGAGTGCTTGGCAAAGCCATACATTTCTGAGATGCTTTCTTAGGCAACACAATAGTTGAATGAGCAAATAACATTGACCTAAGGTCAAGGATAAAGGTCACACCAAGGTCAAAACCAACCTGTTTTTTTACCCTGGGGCTTGCTGTTTTGGATAGCTTCTGGTAAACATTTCGAGTTTATTGATAGCAGGAACCGCATTATATATCTTCCATGGACTTCTGAGAGGTTAAAATAGGTCATTGACCTAAAACGACCGATGTCAACATTTTGTTTTAAGAACATGCTGCCTAGCCTAACCTTTGTCACTTAGCCAAATGCAAAATTAAAAGCAGTCTTATATGATTTTGTCACCCTGACCTTCAAAAGGCCAAACAAGGTCACTAACCTTGAATGAGAATGTGACGTTTTGCTTAGAAACGGTTATTTAGGTTCTGGGGGCACTTTGGAGACCAACCTGAAACTTAACCTTGTTCGACATTTTTTGACTCGAAGTTCATGACCTGGGAACCTGAATATTTGACCTAAGTGAGTTCACGTACAGGTCAATACACCCTGTAAATTTGGTGTCTAGCTTTCTTATTTCCCGAGATCTCAGGAGTGGTCAAATTGACCCCATTCCCCCCCCCCCCCCCAGCCGAGCGAAGGGCATCTAGCCGGCCGCCCGGGGCGCGTGTTAAAACTCTTGCGCAAGTTACTGCTTTCGCTTTTAACCATTCACTGTAAGATCAGCAACCTGCAAAGTGAACTTTCTACTCTCTTCGTCATACGTGAATTAACGATGGTTAGTCATTCGAGTCGTGTCGTCGTGCTGGCTTCCGCGGTATTTAGCAGCCTGCTGAAACTCGATCAGCCATATCTTCGAAATCCGTGCCTTGAATTGGTGGGATCCATCACCCTCTGGAACAAGATAACCGCACGCGATGTACATTTCTGCGTACTGTGTCTAGCAGTCTCCAGTGCGCAGAGAAAGACGGGTTCCCGATTAGGGAATACGAATATGAAAATGAAGTGGCCGAAATCCGAGGACTTATGAGAGGGTAAGGGGCACTAAGCTCCAGGGGCCACCACAGTGAAGAGTGACCCGTCCCCTGACGAAATCCTGGATTCGCCTCTGCTGACAGGAGATACAGTTCTCCTGCATCTTCCGCGTGTGGTGGAACGACACAAGACTGCGAAAGTTCAAGAGCCCGTTGCCAATGGTGGTGCTGACGGAACACGTCAGGAAGCTGCTCTGGAGGCCTGACATCGTCACTGAGAACGTCCGCGAAGTGGAACAAAGCGGCATCATAAAGCCGACCGTCTTCAACGCGCTGTGAGAGAGCTAACAGTCACGAACAGTCACAGAGAGGATAGAGCAAATCTAATAGTTTGGGTTATGACAAAATTTGTACAGGCGACACTGACTGATGGTCACTCATCCCATAGGTTGATTAGACCACTCTCAAGGTCCACAACCGATATGAATGTATGAATGCGCAATGTTTATGTATGCTGGGCAGTCATTAAAGGATGAAAATATTTATCAAGGTTGTTTGGTGAGCGTCAGGGGATGCAATTGTACTGGGTGCATCACCAGGTGTGGGAATGAAGAACAAAGTCCCCCGCAACCCAAAACTTGTGGGGATGCTTTGCTATTCTTAGTTCTTTGCAAACACTTCTTCAGTTATTTGTGCGTTACATTGGGTGGGGGATGCCAATGCTCCCACCCTTTCTCAAGGTGACACAAATCCTTACCCGCGTAGAAGGATGTCAATAGCCGAGAATCGTGGCAAATGGTGAGAGATGTGCCTAGATCATCTGTAACAAAGCAGATGAGGGTGAATAGATTTCGCTCCCGCGTTTTCTGTATGCTGTCTGATGATGCATGGGTAAGCAACGATATTTACCAGAAATAAAAATATTGCAACTGTCAGTTTCTCAGTTTCTTTATGGTTTCATGCCTGTCTTATCTCCACGTCCCTCAGAGTACGCTACTGACCTCATCGTGCCGCTCATCTTTCATGTCTAGGGCGGGAGACGCTGTCCTGAAAACTCGGCCACCTCTGTCGGCAGATACCCGCGCCACCACACGCTGTTCTACTCGTCCTACATCGCGCTGCGCGTTGGCTGCCCGTTTGTGTACACCAACTACCCGATGGATGTGCAGGTGTGCAGGATCCATGTGGGCACCATGGGACTTACTATCGCCGAACTGGACCTGCAGTGGCACAAGCTCAGCTACTCCATGTCACAGAGCTTCCTCAAGTGAGCCACGCTCCGTCCCGCTCGCGACCGCGTCAGCTCCGTTACGGCGACTGGGTCAGTTCGGTTGCAGCGACCGGGGCAGTTTGGTTACGGCGACCGGGGCAGTACGGTTACGGCGACCAGATCCGTTAGGCTACGGAGGCCGGGTCAGTTCGGTTACAAAGACCGGGTCAGTTTGGCTACGGCCACCAGATCCGTTAGGCTAAGTAGGCCGGGTAGGTTCAGTTACGAAGACCGGGTCAGTTCAGTTAAGGAGACCGTGTCAGTTCAATACGGAGGCCGGGTCAGTTGGGTTGCGAAACGCCCCAGGTGGTTCGCTCGGTGGCGTATGTCTGCTTTTTGTAATTTAGCGCCGAATCCACTGTAGCGATAATAGTTATCTGGCGTTCTCCGTTTGTTGAAACGCTTCTTCCTGCGTGTCTCATTGGCTGTGATTAGCTTGAAACGGTGCACGACAAGGGAGCGACAACCACGTGGTGACCACATCGGACCGTTGGTTGGGTTTGTAGGTTCCACGACCTGTTTCGCTTGAAGGTGTGTGAGAGCATGGACGAGCCGGTTCGCTACTCGGCCTTCGGACAACATCCGCAAAAGACGCTGCTCATCGTCCTAAAGAGAAACTACAGGTCCACTTTGGTTCAGGTAGGGTCTGTGATTTCCAGCACATGGACACTACACTGTCTTTATCAAGCTGCACTTCGCTTTGATCGCAAGCAAACTAGTCCTCCGGGCTGATGTCGTGTTCCACAGGCGCACCTTCTGTGTCGTCTTCACAGATAACCGTCTGAACGCCGTGCCGTGCTCTGCAGGTGTACTTGCCCAGTGTGCTCTTCGTCTTGATCGCCTGGCTCAGCGTGCTGGTGCCGCCCACCATGCTGCGCACGCGACTTCTGCTGAACAGCACCAACCTGCTCACCATCATCTCCATGTTTCTATCCATATCGAAGACTGAGGCCGCCCGCGTCCCCAAGGTGGGACTGTTACCGATCACCGATCAACGTCCTAGCCAGGAGTAGGAGTAACTGAGCTCACCTCGATCATCCCTCATCAGCCTACATGACGTCTCGTCTTGCCAATGTGAACAACGTCCTGGTCTTGTATGTTTTCGCTGTGTGACCCCTTCGTCTTGCCGGTGTGACCCAGGTCAGCTACATCACAGCTCTGAACCTGTGGATGTTCGTCTGCGTCGCGTTCTGCTTCAGCTCCGTCCTCCTGGTTGTCCTGGATATTCGACTGGTGGTCCTCCTCACCAACCCAGGTACAGGCAAACCACCTAGTATTAAAAGCCACAGAAGACTCCGTGTTTTGCTGTCCGCCCTCTTGCTCTCCCCCAAGAACATAATCTTACAACAGATACCGCCGTCAGGTGTCGTAGGTGATTGGAGCGCACCGGTTACCTGAGACTGCCGGTACATTTTTCACCAGCGCCACCACAAGCGCAGCATCGGCCGGTCATATGCACGGAGTGACATCCGTGCTTGTCACCAAGTAGCTGATCTAGATGATCTCCATCGCAGGTCGAAAGCTCCAGGCGATCCGTGACCTGTTCCGACCAAAGGAGATCATTACGAACGAATCGTCCGTGTTCATTGACGACGACGACGACGGCGACAGCGACGAGTTTTGGGACGCGTCTGACACGTCAGCGGAGGACCTGGAGAACACCGAGGTGCGGTCGGAGCGCCAGGCTGGCAGGGCTACGGCGCGTCCGCTGGCGGTCCGAGCCGATCGGTCCGGCCTGCCGCCTGTTGTCGCGCCAGCCTGGCGAAGGTTGTGACAGTCGTAGAAAATGCAGACCGTTGAGCTGAAGGCTGAGCTGTTTTGTATAGAGAAGGCCGAACGAGCCGGGTTGAGATTTCTATTGAGAAGGCCGTAGGTAGCCGGGTTGATATTTGCACCCAAAGTTCGCTTGGATGCTGCTTAAACCGGAAAACTATTGACATCAGGGGCATGCGTAGCACATGGAGTAATGTACAAAGTTGCAACCATTGGCGTAGTGGGCCAACTATGGTCCCTACCGCTGTTTTCGTCCTGAGTGTGCTGCTGGACGAAGAATTGCGATGTTGATTCCGTGTACTATAGTCTGATGAACACATTCAAGCCAGTTTGGCACTGGGGCGTGACACGTGTCTGGTACGATCCCGACTGATATCAGCTGGTTTGACCTTACCTGAAATGATCTGACATGACCTTACCCTATCTTTTGTCAACTGACAGCCTGACTACCCAACCAGACATCGCATAGCCAGTCACATGACCTGACCCGACGGGACCTGACCCGACCTGAACTTGCACCTTTCGCCTGGCCTGACTTGTCCTCCGCCACAGTCGACCCTGCGAGACCGTGTGGCCGAGAAGCGTCTCGAGTGGCTGTCGCGCACGGCCGGCTTCGAGCGTGTCTACCTCGTCGGCTATCCGCTGCTGTTCACCCTGTTCACCGGCGCCTACTTCACCTACTTGCTGTGGCATCGGAGCTCGCAGATGGCACAAACGCTAGCCAGCGCTGGCGGCCAGGGCGCGATCCTGCCCGGCTGCTGGTGCCGCTCGGATGACTTCGAGCCCGGTTGCATTCCCGAAAGAGACTACATCAACCTAGATTAAACAACCGACCAACCTATATCAACCAGTCTCACCCAGGGCTGACACAAATGCACTCGGCTTAACATGCGCACCGTCAACCAAACGCGACGTTTTAAGGACGTGCCGCTCATCCCACGCACAGTTCAAAATGCGTGCAGCTATTTTCCTCTGACCTAGTGTGTCTTAAAACATGGATGAAGGACAGTGAATTCCGGCCGTTGGATGAACCATGTGTAGTTGGCAACTGAGCATTGCGTGTGGCCTGCGGGTCAAGCTACATACTCTTTGGTATGTGCATCGTGTTTTGTGTGTGTATCGTGAACAGTGTAGCGCAGCAAGCCTGCTTGGGTGTTTTGTTGTTTGCTTACCATTAAAGCTGCATACCATTTTCTATCGTCTTCTAAATGATCGCACTGACAGTGCTGGTACCAGGTGACGAAGAGGCGCTAAGGTTGCATTTGTGCAACTTAATTAACAGCGGGTACGGTGGAGGTTTTTTCCATAAGGGCATAAAATGACAAAACATGCGAAGCATAATTTGGTGCAGACTGCAGAGTTGTGTAAGGAAACCCAAAGCGTGCATGCTCAAGACGTTCTTGCTTATTTTTACCGATAAAATATCAATCGTGTGTAACTCCGTATCTGACGCGATTTATACCTGAAAAAGGCAATGAATCGTCATACAATTCTATCAGAGTCAAAATGACCGACGCCAGACACCAGTAACTGGAAAAAAAATAATCATGTTAGCTGAAAGCCGCCTGCAGCGACCAGCAGAAGGCAACATATAAGGCCGTCTTTGCTATTGCACCCATACGTTCCAGCGGTGCATTTCAGATTTTGAAGACTTCGTTTCAAGACACAGTGACCGCGTTCCAGCCATGTTTACTCACTAGAGATAACCAACCTTCACAAGTCCCTCGGTGATGTTGGCTCCCATGTCCCTCTCCTGCATTTTGGTTCATGTGACGCGCCTGGTTGTTACGCAACTTTCACTCCCTTGCGACTCCTTTGCGAAAACCCCACCAGTCCCGCTTCTCTTGCCCACCTTTCGGCCTTCTACGATCTGGAGTTGAGCCTGCATTTAGTGGCTCATGAACACACCCCATCTTGACTTGAGTGCGTAGCACTGGTAACGCTAACAAACTGATGCTTCCACGTTGCTGCCAGATTAAGGAAAATATCGGGTCTTCCAAAAAAAAAGAGCAGCGGTGTGACGACGAAAAGCGCCCAATCACACCCGCCCTAGGTTTTTGTAATTTGTAAACCTTGGCTTGTTTGCTTGTTTTGCACCACTGCTTTTGGCAAGTTCCATGCAGGAGTGCAGTATCACAAATTGAGCTTAGCTGGCTGGACAGTGAAAATGACCCAACTTACCCTCAAAATAAAATGACCCAACTTACCCTCAAAATAGGCCAACAAGCAGGCTCCCTCCAATCTGGCCCACTGCCTTCCCAAAGTTGGGGGGAGGGGGCAAAGCCCATGTTGGGGGAGGGTGAAGTCATCCCGACCGAATAAGAAACTGCATCCCTGGTTCGATGCCTTGTTCTTACATTCCAGGCATTTTGCCCATTGTTTTACGATGGACAAAATGGTTCGAAATGTCAGGTTATTTTATGGTATTAAAACCCATATTACTGCTTCAGCCATTACCGTTCCCCCAAAATGGTATCACTTACTTTTGTTCCAAATTGTCGTCTTCCAGGGCCTGCATAAGTACGAACATGATCCTCCAGTGATGTGGAACTTCCTTAGTAGCAACTTATGACCACGTTCTGTCCTTTTTCAGCCATATCTTGCAAAGACACCCTATAAGTAAGCATGTTTTTGCAACCGATGTCGACACTGACTTTGCAGCCTAGAGTGCATACGCTATTAGTTGTCGCCTAGAAAGTGAAGATGAGACTTTTACACGCTTGCACCACATCTAGAATCCAAAATATGCGCTTTTTGTTCAAAGCAAGATGATATGTTGGCCTTATGTTAAGTCACTGCTCGATTTCGGTATCCCCATTTTGGAATCCGACTATGCCAATGCCGAAAAAGTGCTGCATCATAACCTTTATCATCTGTTAACACAACGACGATGATTGTTCATGAGTGCAGCTGGGGAGGGGACGCCAGCTCATACTTTGTTTGTATCTCAACTTTATTCACCTTGACGCACGGTCTGCTGCCTAAACAGCGGAGCATGGAGGTAACACCTAGGCAGGTGTCTAATGCGCGTTTGCGTTGCTGTGTTTCTCATCGCAACCGACACCTCTGCAATTGCTGCAAAATCGAGAGCCGGTAGTGTAAGCCGGAAAGATCTGTGTATGGAATATCTGAATTTGACATATTTGTATGTTTACAGACTAAGGATAAACGTTCGGCAGATGTTGGATAGTCACTGTCATCGTGGGTATCACTTCATATATTGTGTTGCGTGGTCTGGCATGCGCGTAACCACATCTCTGAGATCGAGGGGGGAGGAGGGGGGCGGGGAATCAGGATCGAAGAGGGCAACTGGAATCTGCATTGGCTCGTCGTGACAGAAAATAGGATTTTCAGCGGAAAAGGTGTGGAATGGGTGCATTCCGCAGACAACCCAAATCTCATTTTGTTAAACTTGGGGTACATATCACCCTCCATCAGTTACACGTATGGTCCTGGGAGTGCTTATCAAACTGTGCCTTTATTTGCCCTGCACTGGGCTATGGGGGAAAATGTGAGGCGAGCACAATGTAATTTCATATGCCTACTTATAAACAACATCAAGGTCAATTAAAAACATCACATGAATCCACCTGCAGTTTAACAATGTGCATGCCACCCTAATGATCATTTTACTGCTTTTGGTTGCAAAATTGTTAAGCCATTCTAACTATTCATAGTACAGGTTTAATGTTAAAATGTCATTATCTGAGGATTATGTAATCCCCATTGTAGAATATAGAGCAGCACACTTGATACACTACCCCACCCACCCCCCGTCTCCCCCTTTAGTAGTCACACCCAGGTACCTTTTCAACAACGGGCTAAGCTCAGGGCAGCGCATCTCAGATCCTAATTCTGTGGATGCGGTGGGGCTTGATTGACCAAATTTATACGGTTAACTGATCTGACCTAAGATTTCTTCAATATTTGCACTCCGTTTTATGCAAGATCTGGTGGGAGGGGCACCAAATTGTCAGTTGAAACCAAACGCGTTGGCTACCTGGCTGTCCAAAGAGTGGTCGTCAATGTTTTTTTGGAAATAGTCACTTATCGAGCAGCGTTTTTAGTGAACGCTTGATGGTGGGATACGTAATCCCTAGCTTTTATAGGGTTGGGTTTGTAAGCCCCAACCCTATAAAGGTGAGGGTTGACGTAAACCAACTTCTAAGGTTTTCGAGGATAACTCTCCAGTATGTTATGTAATCGCACCGCCATTTTCGATGCCTCTGGGGCATCTAGTACCCGTGCTTTGACAATAGAAATGTGGCCCTTGCATTTCTGGTTTTTAAGAAGCGACATGCTTTTAAACACCTGCTCAAAACACATAAAAATGCATGTAGCATGAAAATGCATGAAAATGCAAATTTAGATGAATGAATATACCTATAGATAAGGCAGTACTGTCAATCCTATCTCTCGTCGAATAAGCTCGAACCAACTACAACACATATATGCATACATGGGTGAAGCCTGGTGCGTGATGCGGGATGTCTGTTTACTTGAATTCGTTTGCATGGCCAAGAGATGCGCGATGCTCGTTAAGTTGAAATCACTCGCGGGCATGAGTGATCCGTGATGCGTCATGACTGTTGACGTGAAATCGTTTGCGTATACAAGTAGTTTTACGTATTTTTGGCAAGTTTATTAGTTATTATTCTTGGCAAGACATGTACTGTATTATAATAATGGCTGGCTGCTGCTTCTTGTTTGATACCCTGAGTGTTGGTGCACTGTGAAAATTGAGGCACGCTGTTACAAAAACTGAAAAGTCGAGTTTGATTGGTAGTTTTTTTTAATCACTGCTCGTAATCGTTTTGACACAGGCCTGGAGCAAAAATTGCTCTGCTTCTAGCTCGCTCTCCTGATTATTCGACGAAGAATATGCTGCCTCATCTATAAGTGTAATGTTTCTCGACAATTTACGCAGTTTAATACGCCTGCTGACGGTTCGTATCGTTACATAGACCTTTACATATGAACACGTAAACCGCTAAAATTCTAAGTTCAGGAATACTTTACCTTTGTCCTCACCATATGGCCAATTTTCATATTAAAGAAATAACGATGTAAACTGACGACCAATCGTGAGATGTCGCACAAACCAAGCCACCGTACTATAACCATATATTTAGCTGAGAAACGGCAGTGAGTCGCATCGCCCCCTCCCCCTCCCCCACCCGATCAGTCTGTGCTGAACAAAAAGGCGAATCAGAGCGATAGTTATCGTGTGGTTTCCAGTCCTGCCCAAAGTATGCCGTCGTCCGTCATGCAATGAAGGAGATACCGGAGACGGTAGCACAGCCCACCTACGTGCTCAGCCATCCCAGATGTTTAAAGACCGCTGGGCCCCGCTTATAACCTGCCATAACAGATAACTCGCGGAGTGTTTCTACATCGCTGTTTAACCGTTGATATGGATGAGCCTCCCAAACATCACTAATGGGTTGATCGTTCGGGAAGTTGCGGCACGTATTTGGTGTATCATTTGGTATATATATATATATATATATATATATATATCTCTCTCTCTCTCTCTCTCTCTCTCTCCTCTCTCTCTCTCTCTCTCTCTCTCTCCTCTCTCTCTCTCTCTCTCTCTCTCTCTCTCTCTCTCTCTCTCTCTCTCTCCTCTCTCTCTCTCATCTCCTCTCTCTCTCTCTCTCTCTCTCTCTCTCTCTTTTTGCTCAGTTTGCTGAGATGCGGTAATCCGGCAGCTTTGGTCTTAACACAGGTCCAGTGAGAGGTAAATGACGCATTGTGGTACATTCGCTGTGGAAGTGTTTTGGCAAAGATGATACGCAAAAGTAGACATATGTCATGAATTCAGGATTTGTAGGCGGTTGAGAAGAGCCCATTGGATGCATTTTGCTCGTTCCACGCGTCTTGAATAATACAACCCATTGGAAGGTTCAGTTCCTTTTGACTCCATATCACGTATTTGCTGTAAAAACTGGCATCTTCAACGTATGTTGAGCCGAGAAATGGTTTTGTCAGTGTATAGTGCACGCTACAGCTAGGTTGAGAGAAATTCCTAAAGGTCACTCTGCAACTAAAATACAAATTCAAGTAAAACAGGCATGACTAACGATTACAAGTAACCATCAAACTGTGAAAATGTGGTCGTCAGAGGACGATGGATGGTGAGGGAATCTGAAATTCGGAAATACCTGTACTTAAGCAAGACGCCAGACCAATAGGATGACGATCAGGCCTGAAAGAGAAAGGAATATATAATGATTAGTAAGCAGTCAAATGGGGTGCGCTGTAATCCATTTTTTGGCGTTAAACATGTCGAAAATTATATAACTCTTCCACATCCTTGTCAAAAGTGGTAGCATCCTTCCACTCAAGCGAAAAGTAGTTTCAGAACACTGGTGCGATGGACAAAAAAGTGTTCCTACACAGCCCCAAGGAAATGGGAGTGTGTGATTTTTAGTTATGAGGGTGCGTTTACCATTAATATGGTGCATTTAAGGCAGTAATAACAAAAGGTAAATAACACGGTAAAACGGGGAGACGGCAATGCAATCATTACGCTGGGAGTCATCCTACAATGTCACTATCTTAGTGCGACCTCAACAGGTCTGTATTGAGAGCCGATGTGGTGCGGCATTTCATCACAGCTTTCACTGTTTCCTCGGAAAGGAGATCCTTAAAATTACCGCATGCGTTTGCACGGGACATACTGAAAAAGACAGCGCAGAAATTAATTCGTGCGTCTCAGTCTTTTGGGACCTACGTTTTGCGTCAAGTCAAACTGGATATGAACCGGCTCAGGATGACAGAGGACAGACGAAATCAAGGTCACTCGAGATAACATTGAATTAAGTCATCCCCAGCATCCTGCCTGGACGCTGTGCTTGCATTTTGTGCCATGTACGTTACCTTCGCTGTACTGTTATGGCTCTTTCGGTAAGTAAAGCGTGGTTCTTTATGCCTCTGCCGATCTGGAAACATCTCCTTGCCCGGTCAGTTTTGTAATACGCCGGTGGCGCTTGAAATCGGATTTGTGCTTGGTTAGGAATGGTTTGTAACCGACCCTAGAATCACGGAAATGCATGTAATTTTCAATGGTGACGTCATATTCTCCGAAGTCTGAGTGCGCCAGAGCTGTAACAAAACCATATATGTTGCTGCTGTCATTACACATGCTAAATAAAAAGTCAGAATAAAAATTATTGTTTATTCAAATAGACTGCATTCGTGAATTCTTACTTCATCAATCTGTCTGTTTTCCTTTTCATCCTGCTCTTGTGATCTCTCCTCTCTCTCGAATCCTTCTTTTCCACTCCTACGCTCTCCTCCATCATCCCCCTCCCATCATGCATCATTCTCATCTCTCATCCCCTCATCCCTCCCTCTCTCCTTACCACCTCTCCTTGTTCCTTTTCCTCTGTCTCCGCTGCCTCCCCGCCTCCTATCCTCGTCTCAGTTCGTCTCCCGTTACCCTCCCCTCCTCCCAGCTGACCTGCCTTGGGCCAACCCTGCAGGGTTGCGCCGGCCGCCTCCCAGGCGGGCTTGCTGACGGCGCTAGCTGATTACGAAAAGGAGGTGCCGCCGTTGCCCTCCGAACATCCCGACGGACGGCTAATCGTCAAGATTTCCATCCAGTTCATGAGATTGCTGAAGGTCGACGAGATTCAGGGAGTGAGTGAAAAGGTGTCCTCCCACTGGACCGAGGCCGGCGGAGGACTTGTGGGCAACTGTCGCTACACCTTGGAGAAGCCGTGCCCGGGGTATGTAGGAATGCGTAGCTGGCTGGTGCGAGTAAAATATAATCGGATATTTGTTTATACTGCGGCGCTTGAATCAGTGCAGCGTTTCGCCAACGACTTTTGCTAACTTTGAAATGCGCACAAAAAGGGCATTAATTGTAACAGATGATTAGCGGAATATATATATATATATATATATATATATATATATATATATATATATATATATGTACATATTCGTAGTTTTGGGATCAGGTGTCTTGCTCTCATGTCAAGCTGGCATTAATTAAGTGCCTGTCCCTTTAAAAGCATATTGATCTTGCCATAGACTGTGTTTTCCTGCTTCAGGAATAGTTTTAAGTTACCCATATCATTTCTGGTAGGAGCAGCATCTCTCTTCATGCTATACCGGCTGTAGCATAATGCAGGTTCTGTGACTCCCAGGAGCAGCATTTCTCCCAATCTTGGACCATCTGTGTCAATCCACATGAAATGCAGTTATCGTGGCGTTGTTACCCTGCACGTGGCTCTTATTGTGTATTTATCTACCAAATGTACCAACTGTCTATGAGGATATTTTCCCCATTCATCACAATTTTAATCAGTGCATGTTGAACACCGTTTACGTTAAAATATTTGCATAACATATATATTGTCCATGAGGTGTCCCGAAGAGGTTCTCCTGGGGCATAAGATAACAGTTTTGGGAATACCACCCTCATAAAATCATGGATCCGCCACTTGCGCGAGGGGGCAACAAAAACTTCAAGTTAGGGCCCACAAATGTTTTTGATCAATAGCCACCACATCCAAGGAACCGTCCAAAGGTAAAAGGGTCCGAGTGTTATTTTGCCTAATGGTGCTTAGGTCTTTTTGCCTTTTGACGGCAGAGCTATTTCCGTGTCTTTCATCGTGATGGAACTCTGGTTGGCCCTCTTGGCGAAATGGCACCAAAAACCTTTATTTCATGGCATCGTAACACCTGTTTTCCAGATGTACTCAAACCCACGGTTATCACAAAAAGTCACAACACCCTTGTTTTCATGACACCAAAATCCAGGGGTTCCACAGTGCTCACGCCTCTCCATTAACCACATCTTGTATCGGCCCGATTGGCAGATGGGAAGACACCAAAACGTTAATTTCGGGGGCACCAAAGCACTTATTTTCCGGGAGCACAAAATCCAAGCCGGCCATTTCGATGGCCACGAACACTTCCTTTTAAACGGACACCATGATCTACTTGCTTTCCTCCCTGATAAGGCCTTAAATTGGTGCTTTCGGCGAAGGGACGCTAAAAACCTACCTTTCGATGTATCATGTCCACCATTTTCGACAGGGACCCAACTCCAGGTGATACCACCAAGGGTCACATTACCTCTGTTTTCAAGAGGGAGTGCTGTGATATCCGTTACTCCACATTGACGAAATCCTGAATCAGCTCATTGAACGAGTTGCTCCAAAACGTTTAATTCTGGGCACTACAATCTTCATTTTTAAGTCACACAAAATCGCAACGGATCTTCACCAAAATTAGGAGGAATGAGAAAAAATATCGCGATAGCTAGGTCTCCGTGTAATTCCGGGTCAGCATTCTAGCGCACCCTGCTTTGGGTTGCTTGATCGCCAGCTGGCCTTGCCGAGCCTAGTTGCGGGCTGGTACTTTGAAAACGTTGCCTCTTTGATATTAATCAATTTCATGAAGAACTCGGAAGTTTCCCTTTGCGGTAGGTGGCCGTTTTGCACGCAGAGTGTTGGCTGCGTCGCCGATGCCGCACGGCTCATCACGACTGAAACGCAGTGTCTTTGTCTTTTCTTGTAGACTGCGAACCCACACGTTTAAAACTATTTGATATAGCATTCGTGGGTAGCTAAGGAAAAGATGAACATCCCCAAACCAACGAGGTTGGGCATATTAGTGCAGTTGGTTCTCCTGCGTCAATCTACGCCGACGTGCAATCCACGGGCAGCTTCATATTTTTGTAAAACCCCGAGCACAGCCGGCAACGCTCCCCACTGTTATTGCTTGATGTAAAAGGCCGAATGACCTATTTCTATTTGAATAGCGTCCGCCGTCTATTCGATGCAATCACTTGATCCCTGGTTTATTTCTTTTATTTATTTCAAAACGCATGCAGAACTGTATCCCCTGACAGCCACTGGCTTCTTTTAAAGTCAAAGAGGTACTTCAACATAAGCAATAAAAGAAGAGTGTTGATACCTTGAGATCAGCTGGGTCAAGCTCAGTGAATCTTTTTTGGGGGAAGTATTTAGGGAGGCTGGATTCCATGCTGCATTCTCGCATTTCCACCACCCTTTGTTATCCGCGGTGCCCCCCCCCCCCCCCCTCCTATTGTGACTTTGAGTGTCCCTTCGGCCACAGTGTCTGTACATCCCCAGACGAAATACCGGAGATCGATCCACGTCAGCGCCGCCAATGGAAATGCGGGGTCCTCCCCCCCCCCTCCTCCATGCTCGCATTCTTTTTTAGCACAGTGTATGGGTCTCGACAGAAGTAAAAAAACAAAACAATGTACACTTTTTATTGCACCATGAATACAGTGAGGTAAATCGTCACTGAACAGATATTTGTGAATCACCATGATAATAGCAGTTCGATATCTCTGTAATCAAACCACTGCAAATGATCAGGGTACGGTCAAAGTGTGAAACAAGTAAAGTTGCCATTGATTCTGACATACGTTGCTGAATATTTATATGCAACAACAAGAGATTTAAATAGGTTATTCCGCTTCGGGCGCTACGGAAAAAGTTTTTCATCAAACTGATTGTTTTGTTTTACACCTGAGGACTCCACGGAAGGAAGCATGAAGAAGTAAAGCCTAGTTACCTAGTAACCGTAAATACCTAGTTGGTGACAGGTCATTTAAGTCACTTGTATGAGGTACGCGAAGCATTGTTTGTAACAAATACCATTGATTGCAGCCACAGTGATATGCGTCTTCACCACAACAAAACTGCGCTTACCTCTTGACACATGTGGTTAGGATCTTCCGTCGCCAGACAAATACCGGTGCAAAAGTTTGAGCGTACAAAATGGTGAGCTTATATATATATATATATATATATATATATATATATATATATATAGTCTTTGCTATATTCTTAAGTGTGAGTTTCGAAGAGAGAGAGAGAGAGAGAGAGAGAGAGAGAGAGAGAGAGAGAGAGAGAGAGAGATATATATATATATATATATATATATATATATATATATATATATATACATATATACATGCATCGATATATCTTCAAAATGCATATCTTGGGCCGCTGGGATCCATCAGCCTCTGGAACAAAATAAACACACTCAACGTATATATATATATACGTACTGTATATGTACTCTATATACGTACTATATATAGCACTCTGCAATGCGCAGAGGAAGATGGTTTCCCGACTAGGAAATAAAAATATGAAAATGAAGTGGCCAACATCCGGGGGCTTATGAGAGGGTAAGAGGCAAGCTCTGGGGTCCACTACAGCGAAGTGTGGCCCCTACCCTGAAGGAATCCTGGATTCGCCTCTGTTGACAGGAGATACAGTTCTCCTGCTTCTACCGCGTGTGGTGGAACGACACCAGGCTGCGAAAGTTCAAGAGCCCGTTGCCAATGGTGGTGCTGACGGAGCACGTCAGGAAGCTGCTCTGGAGGCCCGACATCGTCACTGGGAACGTCCGGGCCGTGCAGCAAAGTGGCATCCTCAAGCCGACCATCTTCTACGCACTGTGAGAGAGCTGGCAGCTACGAGCAGTCACAAACAGAACAGAACACATCGAACGGTTTCGGTTATGGCATGATTTGCACAGACGATACGGACTAATGATCATCCACCTCGTGCATTGATTACACTACTCTCCAAGCCCACAACCTGTATGATTGTGCGATGGTTGTGGGGTAGGCAGTCATTAAAGGGTGGCAATATTGATCGAGGCTGTTTGATGAGCAAGATGGGTGTAACTTTGCTGGCTACATCACCAGGCGTGAAAATAAAGAACAATTTTTTCGTACCCCAAAAATCATGGGACACTGCTTTTTCTAATAGTTTGCAAAGCGTTTTACAGTTCTTTCGGCGTCATTTTGCGTGAAGGATACAAACGTTTCCCCGTACCCTTGCACCACTTAAAGCGACACAATCCTAACCCGCGTGGAGGGATGCCATTAGCTGGAATCGTGGTATCGGTTAGAATATGTGTCTAGTTCACCTGTGACGTGACATATATGGTTGAATGGATTTTGCTCCCGCGTGCTCTCTGTGCGATTTCATGATGCATGTGTAAGCAACGACGTTTTCAAAAGAAGATAAAACGGTAGTTTTTTTGCCTGTTTCTTTTTCACGCGTGAGGGGCTTTCATGCCTGTTGCATTTATCACCACGCCCTAGCTCAACGTCCCTCAGAATTCGTTACTGTCCTCGTTGTGCCGCTACTTTTTCATTCCTTATGCGAAGAAGCCTTGTTTTGAATTCTCTGCTAGTCTGATGACGTACTGCTGGTATATATCATCGCGCCTTTCGGGCGAGATCGTAGACCCAGAGTCGACTGGCACGGAGGACAGCATGTTTTTCTGCATCAAAAATGTTCCACTCGAGTAGAGAGCGGCGTAAGTATCCACCAAAATATGCCAGGGGGCAAGTGCAGTTTCGTTGTGGTGAGGGCACATTTTACTGTTAAGTAATTGAGGGCATTTGTCACGCACAAAGTGTTACGTTTCTCAACAAGGTGTCTTCATGAAGCTTTCACGAAGTAGGTATATGCGTGGGTCACTTGTTCATGTCTCCATTCGTTGGCCATTTTCGCGTAGGACATAACAATCAGTTTGATGAACAGCTTTTTAGGTAACGCCCGCAGCAGAAAGACCTATCTGCATTTCTTGTGCCTGTATATACAAATTCAGCCACTTATGTTTGTGTCAGTGGCAAATTTACATGCCTTACGCTTCAACCGTCCCCTGATCGCTTGCAATGGTTTGATTACTGACCTATTGAGCTGTTATTTGCTTAATGACGATTTATCTCACTGTAGATATTGTCCAATGAAAAGTGTATCTTGATTTTTGTCAAAAACCAACTACGGTGCTGAAATAAGCAATGCAGGCAAGGAGTGGGGAGACGCCTCCTCTCCCCACCTTTCATCAGCGGCGCTGATGTAACTGATCTCCGGTTTTTTTTATTCTCTATGCAGGGTAACCTGCTTACAATAACAAGCTCCGTGGATTTTTCAGCAACGATCAGTACAGCTCGTTAAAAATTATGCTATGCCAATTTTTAAGCAATTTTGCACCAGCGTGGGATTGGGCACACGAAAACGCATGATAACACACTGGGGTCACAAGCAAGGGAGTTCTCCCATCCTCCTCCCCTTCCCTTACGCTCAGAATTTTCGTTTTCCGCCATAAGGAGTTCCCGGCAGAGTTGCAACTCGGCGTGACGCGCACTCACCGGAGTTCCGGGCCCCTCCTTTAAGACCTACAGCACATTGTTCTTTTGGGCCGGATGACAAGCCACCCGCGTGACTCGGCTCCTCTGCCGGCAGATATCCGTCCAGCTACACGCTGTTCTATGCGTCCTACATCGCGCTGCGCGTTGGATGCCCATTTGTGTACACCAGCTACCCGATGGATGTGCAGGTGTGCAAGATCCATGTGGGCACCATGGGCCTCACCATCGCTGAACTGGACCTGCAGTGGCACGAGATCGGCTACTCCATGTCACGACGCTTCCTCAAGTGAGCCGCGCTCTGCCACGCTCGCGACCGGGCCGGTTCCGTTACGGCGACTGGGTCAGCTCCGTTACGGCGACCGGTCCAGTTCTGCTATGGCGATAGGGTTCAGTTCAGCAACGGTGGTTAGGTCACCTTAGTTACGGGAACCAAAGCCAGTTGGGTTACGAGACGCCCCAGGTGATTGGCTTGGTGGTGTATTGTTGGTCTCCGTGACCTAGCGCCGAAATCGCTATAGCGATTATTGCCATCGGGTGGTCCCAGTTTGTTAAAACGTTCCTATCTGCATGTCACGGTGGCTATGATGATGATGATCAAAACGGTGCACGTACAGGGAAATGACAAACTACTTGGTGATGGCATCGGACCGTTGCTTGGATTTGTAGGTTCCACGACCTGTTTCGCTTGAAGGTGTGTGAGAGCATGGACGAGCCGGTTCGCTACTCGGCCTTCGGACAACATCCGCAAAAGACGTTACTCATCGTCCTTAAGAGGAACTACAAATCCGCTCTTATTCAGGTGGGATCAATGATTGGCAGCACACGAATACCACATTACCTCTGTCAGGCTGCACTTCGCTTTAATCACAAGCATGCTAGTCCTCCGGGCTGATGTCATGTTCCACAGGCGCACCTTCTGTGTCGTCTTCACAGATAACCGTCTGAACGCCGTGCCGCGCTTTGCAGGTGTACTTGCCCAGCATGTTCTTCATCTTGATCGCCTGGCTCAGCGTGCTGGTGCCGCCCACCATGCTGCGCACGCGGCTTCTGCTGAACAGCACCAACCTGCTCACCATCATCTCCATGTTTCTATCCATATCGAAGACTGAGGCCGCCCGCGTCCCCAAGGTGGGACTATTACCGATCACCGATCAACGTCCTAGCCAGGAGTAGGAGTAACTGAGCTCACCTCGATCATCCCTCATCATCCTACATGACGTCTCGTCTTGCCAATGTGAACAACGTCCTGGTCTTTCGTTCTTTGTCGTATGCTCTCGCTGTGTGACCCCCTCGTCTTGCCGGTGTGACCCAGGTCAGCTACATCACAGCTCTGAACCTGTGGATGTTCGTCTGCGTCACGTTCTGCTTCAGCTCCGTCCTCCTGGTTGTCCTGGATATTCGACTGGTTGTCCTCCTCACTAACCCAGGTATAGGCAAATCCTCAGCTATGGTAAACCGCAGAAGAATTTGTGTTTAGGTGTACGTGCCCTTGCTCTCCCTTAAGAACAGACATCTCACAACACCGTCGTCAAGTATCAGAGATAGATTGTCACGATTGGGACGCCCAGGTTACCTGAGGGTGTTGGTACCTTATTCACAAGTGCCATCACAAGCGCAGCGTCTCACTGAAATCACTGGAGTGACCCCCGTGCACTCACGGAGTGAACCCCGTGCTTGTCACCGAGTGGCCAGATCTGGATGATCTTCCCCGCAGGTCGAAAGCTCCAGACGATCCGCGACCTGTTCCGACCAATGAGCTTCATTGCGCATCACTCGTTCACTGACGACGACGGCGGCGGCGACGACGACGATGAGTTTTGGGACGCGTCTGACACGTCAGCGGAGGACCTGGAGATTACCGAGGTGAGGTCGGAACGCCAGGCTGGCTGGGCTACGGCATGTTTGCTGGCGGTCCGAGCCGGGCCGGTCAGGCCTGCCGCCTGTTGTGGCGCCAGCCTGGCGAAGGTTACGATAGCTGGAGGAGATGCATACTGCTGGGCTGGAGGCTGGGCTGTTTTGTACCGAGAAGGCCGTACGAAGCCGGGTTGAGATTTGTATTGAGAAGGCCGTGCGAAGCTGGTTTGAGATTTACGCCCAAAGTTTGCGTGCGTGTTGCTCAAACCGGAAAACTCCTGACGTCAGTGGTAAACGTAACACATGGAGTAGTGTGGAGATTTGTAATCAGTGGCCTGGTGGGCAGACCACGGCCCCTGTCGCTGTTTTCCTCCTGGGTGCGCCGCTGGACGAAGCGTTGCGATGTTGCTTCTGTGTCGTCCTGTAGTCTGATGCACGCATCCAGGCCAGTTGAACAGTGGGGCGTGGCACGTGCCTGGTGCGATTCCAACTGATATCAGCTGGTCTGACCTTATCTGAAATGACATGGTATTGCCTCACCTGGTCCAATGTTAACTGAAAGCCTGACTTTACCCAACCAGATAACACATAGCCTGTCACACGACCCGACCCGACGGGAACTGACCTGACCCGAGCCGACTTTTCACTTTTCGGCTGACCTGACGTGTCCTCCGCCGCCTGCCGCAGTCGATCATACAGGACTATGTGGAGGAGGAGCGTCACGAGTGGCTGTCGCGCACGGCTGGCTTCGAGCGTGTCTACCTGATTGGCTATCCGCTGCTGTTCACCCTGTTCGCCGGCGCCTACTTCATCTTCTTGCTGTGGAACCGGAGCTCGCAGATGGCATGGACGCTGACCCGCGCCGGCGGCCAGGGCGCGATAAGTCCCGGCTGCTGGTGCCGTGAGGATGACTTCGAGCCTGGCTGCGTCCCCGAAACAAACTTCATCGTCCTATAGTTGCGCACAGGGCTCATTACACGTGTATAGTGACACAGATGTACACGGCTCAGGATGCGTACCGTCAGCCACGCATGACGTTTAAGCACGTGCTGTCCGTCCCATGCCGTCCAATGCGCGCAGCTATTCTCCGTTCACCCGGTGTACCTTATAACATAGGCGTGGATCGCGATTCCGGAACTGTTGGATGGACCATGTGCAGTTGGCAACTGAGCATGGTATGCGACCTGCGAGTCAAGCTACTCTTTAGAGTGTGTATCGTGTTTTATGTGTGTATCGTGAGCGATGTAGCGCGTCAAGCCTGCATGGACATTTTGTTGTTTGCTCGCCATTAAAGCTACCCAACGTTTGTTTTTGTCCTTTTAAATGATCGCACTGGCAGTGTTAGCACCGGGCGCCCAAGTGGCACTGATGTCGCGTTCGTACAAATCAATTAACAGAACGGACAAGGAGTAGGTTTTTCAGAGGGGCAGGAAGTGACAAAATGAGAGAGACACACCTGCACATTTCAAAAGTCTGTTTTGGAAGAAGGTATTTCGTGCGTGGTTAGAAGTTTCCACACCATACAACCCAGATAAGCATCACTTCCGTCCGGAAAATTATGGTTTTCGGACCTAAGATTACCGACACCATAGCTGAAGGCTGGGACAACAAGGGCATTAGATCCTTAGCATATCTTATTGGCACGCGCCAGGGTGGCCGATTAGGATACCGTTCGCTCGGGTGCGGGGTCAATTTGACTCCGTTCAGATCTCAGTGTCTAAGAGAGCTAGAGACACGAACCTCACACAGTGTATTGGCCTGTAAGGGAACTCACTTAGGACAAAGTGTTAAGTTTTTATGGCATGACCTTCGGGTCAGATGAGGTTAAACAAGGTCAAACTCCAGGTTGGTTTCCAAAGTGCCCTCACACACACACACACACCACACACACACACACACACACACACCACACACACAAACACACACACACACACACACACACACACACACACACACACACACACACACACACACACACACACACACACACACACACACACCACACACACACACACATACACACGCGCGCGCGCACACACACACCACCACACGCACACACACAACACACGCACACACACACACACACACACACACACACACACACACACACACACACACACACACCACCACACACACACACACACACACACACGCACGCGCACATATGCTTCAAGACTACAAATACGCACGCCACACTTACACCTGCATGTACACATTCATGTCATTTCTGCGCGCACCATTCGCAGTAAATAGCGTGTTGTATGTGATCGTGGCTGGAGGTCGCAGTGGCGCACATTCCGAAACGAGCATGCGATAGTGAGGCATCGCGGGCTTACTGTGCACAATGCTGTAGATATCAAGTTATGCATGAGCAAGTACTGAAGTGATGTGCTCGTATACATGGTGGGCTGCGATACCGAATATCATGTGCGATCGATCACTGCACGCATCGTCTTCGTGTGATGATTGCGCTTATGTGTGATGTGATTTGCTAATATATTGAGAGAGAAACAAATGAGCGGAGCATAGAGTTTGCGCGCACACTAGCAGACCATTGGAGTAGGAACAGAGGAGGGCAAGGGGGCCATGGCCCCCACTTTTTAAGGTGGTAAGGGGGGGGGCTAGCAGTGTTAACTGGCCCCTCCGCTTTTCAGATTAAGGTTGTGTTTAGCTTACTTTTGTACCACATTTACATGTACATGCCTATTTACCTAGTTCACCAGTCATCTTCCTCAAGATGCGTCATAAATTTCGTTCGCTTATTGGCCATCGCTTAGTGCCACAGCCACAGGCTGACGCCACGCGGCCTACGGAGACTGCAACGCCGGGCGTTCAGACTGTTGTTGCTATGACCTGCGAACGCGTATGCTCAAAACCATATTACATGGTTTTTGTCTGTAATCAATTCTGACTGAATTTTGAACATTCTAAGACGAACATCGATTAGTCATGTTAATACAAGCTTAGGACCCCATTTCATATACAATCTACGTTCAGGGATTCCTCAATATCTCTGAAGAAAACAGAAGAACACGGAACTGGGGCCTGCATGACTGATCTGGGGCCAAATGCGCGGGTCAAAAGGCCTCCTGTGTCAGGGTGGGGAACAATGTGATATGATATATCCTTCCAATGGCCCCAGGATCGACCAGGAGATCCCGCCCCGTGTCGCTAGAATAACAGCCAGAAGACGCTTTGCGATGGGACGGAGTGGCCCTTCAGCTCTTGACCGGAACCAGCAAAGTGCCCTTGATGTTCTACCCAAGTGAAGGAAATTTGCCTGGAAGGAAATAAGGGGCCTCATTATTGTTGAGCATAGTGGAGCTCTCATCATTGTTGAATGGAGGAGGTCGAAATGAATTTAAAGAAAACGAACAAGACCATCCCATGTTTGTCTATGAACGTTCATTTTTCAGGATGGATTAGTGAAAAAGTGCATCAAAAGGTTTGAACATGTACGCCCGTAACCTCAAGAGCGAGGACAGCGATGGTCTGGGTTGCAGCTTCCGTAAAACTGAGTGACTTAAATGAGTTCACGTACGGGTCAACACACCCTGCAAATTTAGTGTCTCTAGCTCTCTTAGTTCCCGAGATCTCAGGAGGGTCAAATTGACTCCTCACCTGAGCAAAGGGTATCTAGTCGGCCACCCTGGCGCGTGTTAAACATGTAAACAGAATAGATTTTACGATTACTTTTGGTTTCTGTTCTGGTTACAACGTGAAAATAGCAATGAAACGAAGAAAACCGTATCCCTTGTTAACAGTAAACTATATCCGGCGGTATTTTTTGTGGGGGATCACCATAAAGGGACTTTTGTCAACCCCGTGTTCTTCTTAGCAAGGCTCTGGCTACCCCTGCCTACACACAAAAACAGATCAAGTCATCTAAGTTGAATGACGGGCAGTTAAATATCCGTTGGGCCAATTCATACCTAAACTAGGCAGTTTCCGGCGGCATTTTTCTGCGGTGGTGTGGTGTCAGGGAAGATAATTTGGAAAAAGATACTGTTGTAGGTGTTCATCACATGCTTTACATCCCAATTAGTAGCAATGCTGATCCAGAAATGTGCCACAAAGCAGCCATACCATCAGTTCGCGGTCAGTCATTCAGAGACAGCCGGGCCAGGACGGTGGCCACCGACGGCGCATGGTAGCAGGGCGCAGACAAGGAATATATGAAGGAAGGGCCTTTTTTCTGGGGCATGGTTTTCAAAGGAGAATCTCCAGTTCTGTGGCTTTTGTCATGTGGTTTTTGGTAGCTTCAACCTTCCGAATTTGTTTCCGCCTAAAATGCCGCGACCAGTCTTATCTCTCTCCTGAAAAGCACCCAGCGAAATGGGGGCGCATGCAAAATATGTTTTACTATGAGTCATCGATTCACTTTCAAAATTCTCACCAGCCTATGCTCAGGCCATACTTTGGTACCTACCCTGTGGAGACAGATGCCTCCTCAATGACCCAAAATGCCTCTCCCGTTCGTGGAATTTCGGCTCCCCAGGAAAGACAACGTTGAAATGGAAGAATAATCTTGGGAAGCTGGATAGCCTTATTTCCTGAATGACATAGATGAGGCGGATAGGCAAGAGTGTGCACCAGTGAGAAACAGCTCTAGATGCATATCTGCAATAGCAGTCATTACATTTGAATAAAGATCGATAACCTCCATCTCCAGTCCCCCCCCCCGTCGTCGGACTTGTCTTCCAGAAGAAAATTCCTGAAGTACGCCCTGAGCTTGGCCGCCCCCCACACTTTTTGAAACGCTCCTATTCCTATGCTGTAGACTTATGTTAAGAAGCAGACCGCGTGCATCCTCAAGGGGTTCTTGCTTCTTCCCACCAGAAAAAAACTAAAAAGTACGCAACTTCGTAACTGACGTGATTTCTACTAAACAAAGCGATTGCTTTTGAAGTTAAGAGTTACCCATGCCAGACATGGAAAAAGTAATTATCGTAGCTGAAAGCCTCCTGCAAGTTTAACAATGGGCTAGCAATAATGCGATGTTCGCCCATTGCGCCCATACGTTTCATTGGCGCATTTTAGATTTTGAAGGCTTCGTTTTATAACAAAGTGGCCGCGTTCCAACCATGTTTACTCATAAGAAGAAACCAATGTCCACAAGTCCTTTGGTTTCGATCTCCTTTTGCCTTATCTGCCAAGCCCGATAGTCTTGCGATTTTCTCTCCCCGCAGCTCCCTTGTGACCTTCCTTTCCTTTCTAACGTTTAGCAAAGTTCTGCTTGTCCTTGGCGCACAAAGGACGGACGGGTTTTTGACCGCTTAATTCTCAACTACGATAGTTGAATACTTGTCAAGTTGCATTTCTCAGACGTACTGAGCAAGCCCATAGATGTTGGTTGCCAAAATGGTCCAGCACCATAAGCCGAGTTCTTGACAATCTATTCCAGAAAAATTTACATCTCAAAGCCCTGGGGTTCGCCTTCCTCGTCCCACACCGCACGAGGTTTCTGACCGGTGGTCCGACTCAGCAGATGACACCGGTTCACAAGTTCTACTCTGCATGGCACCCAATCTCTCGTAGTGAAGGTGCTCGCCGAAAAATTCGCAACACAGCTGCCACCTATACCGTCGGCTCGAAGGCTTGAGTTCGATGGGCTGCGAAAGGGGAGGGGAGAGACGCCGGTGACAAATTCCACAGTGCGGTGAACACTGCGTTTACTTAATTGGGTGATTGAACTTATACTAATTTCTTAAGCCGAAGATAATCAGTAGTTCAATCGGCTGTTACAAGATTCACTGCATCCCCCAGGAAAGGATCAGAACAAATTTGCATTCGCCACAATAAAACTGTGCGTGTCTGCTGGCATTGTTAGTTAGATACGAGCCTGGCTTAATTAATCTAAGCACTCAAGGCTAAGATCCACAACATGATCCAACAATCAACAACGTGATGATCCACAACAGAATAATTTTTAGCACCTTCTATGGAGTCGGGCCCATATTCAAATACTCACAAGAGCATGTGCGATGACTTATTCGCATTACATGGCTGGTTTTCGGCTCGCCGGCTGGTGGATTTGGGATTTGTACAAATCTGCTCCGTTAACCATTCAGCCATGAATACACTGTCATATTTTTAAAGGATTGTGCGTTGCATGTTACCCATAATAAAGCACGTTCACGCAATCCTTTACCCTATCGGAAAATCTCAAGGTGTGGCGGGGAAAAGTCTGGGGTTGGTGGGAAAGCAGTCAAAAGACATTCAATGCAGCCATTGTCACTTGCTCTTAGGGATAGCTCATAATTGTTATGATTTATGGTGCGGCGAGTTACAATGCTGCCTGCCAGTCCCTGCTGACAAAATTTTGGATCCGCCCCTGGGTGGAGCCTGGATCTGATGTTCATTCATCTATGGCAGCCAATGCGCTTCATCTTTTTTGTCGTTTTTTTGAATGCAGAAATAAAGTAGTTGAATTCCAAGGCAAAATCAGGGTATGGTGGTAGATAAGGCGAATCATTGTCTGGGCCCGGTCATATCCCTGGGCTGTCCCATTCAAAATTCCCTACGCAGGCCTTGCCTGAGTCTAACCAAACCTAGTCTAGTCTAAGCCCACGCCCATTACACATGGTGTGA